AACAGGGGAAAAAAAATCAAACAACAAAACATTCCGATGCAAATAAAAAAAACACCACCTTTGATTCTTTAAAATTCGGGTACCCTACCATACTCTATTTCGACATTCATTTCTATTAAAACATGTTGCATTATTTTATTGAGAAAGGAGACACAACTCTTCAAAGTAGGGCCCTTTTTTTACAGCTTACACTTAGCTGTGCTTTATACGAGTGGTGACCCTGAGTTCCAGTTTCAGGAAACTAACAGACATCTTTCACATATTTCTATTCAGATGAGGTCACACACGGCTAGAGCAATCAATCCCACACTAAAAGTGTGCGAGAAACTATATACAGCATTTTACATACAGCGTGCAAAGTGGTATCATATTAGAGACTAGTGATACGAGAAAAGATGTATAATTTATAGTATAGTAATTTATAGTTAGAAAAAACAACTTTACTTCCACACACAAAACTAACGATAGAATACTAAAATTGTTTAGGTAGTTATGTATTTCCGGAGACGAACCATTTCAGGTGAGCGGTGCCATCGCGCCGTACTGTAAGAACTTCGATACTCTCAATGTACAAATGGATCGTGGGAAGTCGAGGTATTTTATTCTGCGCGAGGATAACGTTTCGTGATTCTCATATGGTTATCAGATAAAGATTATAAGCTATCACCAAGTAAAATAGTAGGTTAAATACCCCGCGAAGAAAACTGTGATAACTAAGATAACCCTGCATTCAAATGAGCAGTCCTTGGGGCGTCAAATCCGGCACTTTACATTAAGGCTTTCCTCGATGTACCCATTTAATAAACTTTGTTCTAACCAGATCCGACTGTTCGTGCTACATATATGTCATAGGTTTCTTCTATTGATGACTTGCACAGTCGCCACGCGTGCCAAGGCTGGATGCCAGGAAACGCGCGCACCGTCAGCACTCTTCTTTTTTTTGTTGTTGATGACGATAGTGAACAAGCTCATTTTCGTCCAGATACGCAAGATGCACCCAGTTTCTCAAATAGAAAGCTCACCATTGTCCTGGCCTCTGAATATTGACCGTTCTCTCGGGTTGCTCAGCATGGCCTGGTGCTTCACGGGTCCGCCAACTCCGTCCCATGCATTTTCCCATGTCCAGATGCAGAACATAACCACTGAGCTTGTGGACAATCATTATGTGCAAACTGGTGAAGCTGGTAGCTATTCTTAAAATGACTGGCGGCCCCGTCACTTACGTGCGTCACCTGCGAGGCACGTGAGAGCGACGTCGTCACAAAGGTTTTCACTGATGGTAGCAACGCTGTTTGTAGATTTTCTTGTCGTTTAATTACACGTGTAAATATCGCAACTTTTTTTTCTTCAGTGGTATGCTTTAACTTTGTCAGGAAGCACGATGGTCCAGTTTTCAGCGAAGTCGAAATGAAAGACAAATCTGACGCGTTGCATGCAGCTGCTTTTCATCCTATAGACCGCTTTACCTTACGTTTGCCGGATATGGCTGTGAAATATCCAACTTTCAACCGTTACTTAAATGGCTTTTAGAAAAATCTCAAGATCCAATGTTTTCTATTTTTTTTTACGAGGCTGTTGGACTTTTATGCTGTAAGCACAATATCGTCATCCTCTGGGATATGAAGTTTCTCGAGTGTAAGAGACGGCTTTTGGGCAGTAATCACAGTCTCCTTGAAGACACAGACTTGTTCGTGGGTCGAACAGAAATGCTGAGTTTATTTCAGAAGTGTTGAATGTCGAGCCTGTAACGTTCTCTACAGCGGCGATGCAAAGGTAATAGTTGGCGCAGCGCACACAAACGCACACTTCCTGGAGGCCTCTCGGGTTGAGCGTGTCAGGAAGCGCTTTGGCACGAACGTTTTCTCCCCGTCGGGCATGACAAAGATCACGTCCTTTTGATCGGGACCTTGGTGCGAACATTGTAGCTCGTCTTTCGTGAAATAGACCAGGGCAGCAGACAGGTTCTTAGGGCTTACCTTGCACCTCGTGTAAGGATCCGGCTCATACCAAGCGCCATGCTTTTCCTTACCTAAACGTAAACACTGTCGCCATGTTAAGCTTTCCTAGGTTAACATGGCGACAGTATTTACGCTCTTTTGTAATTAGGCGGGGCTCAAGTTTTTGGGGGTTCTGCTCTCTGTCGGTGTGCCTCTTTGTGCATCATATTATCGCCCTCAAAGCCAGCGAGTGGAAAGGCGACAGGCGAGATTGCTCAGTAAACAGGCATCGGCCGCTATACACGTTTGCATGTCCGGCTTCAGGGCGCTGCCATCTTGCTCGCTGGGGTGCGCTTGGACGCGTCCTAATCCGATTATGGCCGCGCCCAAGCGCACCCCACAAGACAAGATGGCGGCGCACGAGACGCACTTGCAAACGTGTATAAATTGCTGGTTGAAGCGAACCCCCTCATCCTTGACAGCGAGCAGGGAAATGCGAAAAAAGATTGTATCGGCCGTTTTGCCATAACAAGCGACGAGTTTCGCCTGCTACTTCCATCGACTATTGCGCCATAATCGTGATCTTCGAGGAACTGATTGTTGCTAGCCACAGAACCCTATCACGGAGAAAGGGAATGCTCGAATATGTTTCATTCTAGATATAAGTCAGGGATATATATAAGAGAGAGAGAGATGGAGATAGAAGGTAAAAGAAAGGAGCATATAGTGCAGTAGGAAATTAAAGTAAATAAAGTTCCCAGTGGCCGATGGCTGCAGGATCTTTCCTCGGATCACTAGTTCGTAAATGATAGCTCTTTGTACACAGTAGTTTCTCATGAATTTTAGTGTGTAAACCATTTCTCTAGGCATAAATGGCTTCATCTGAATAAAAATATATAAAAGATGTGTGTTAGTTTCATGAAACTGGAACTCAGAGTCACTTTTTTGTAAAGGGCACTGCTAAGTGTAGGCTTTGAAAAAGGACCCTACTTTGGAAAGTTGTTTCTTCTTTCTCACTAAAAGAATGCAACATGTTTTAATACAAATAAATGCCAAAATAGAGTATAACAGGGTACCCAAATTTAAAAATATCGAAGTTGGTTTTTTTTTTTTTTTTGTTCGCATCGGAATTTTTGTTTGTTTGTTTTTTTCCCATGTTTGCCTAAATATATCCCGACTATCGTATCGCTCAGATACCTCATTTATTTTTTTAAATATAGCCATAATTAAGTCGAATATTATCTGCAACTTGAATAATAATGATGAAATTATTTCACAAGCTACAGGCCTTCAAATTTTGCCATTTTTCGTTCAAGCAGGCATGTTTGGCAATTTTAAGAAAAATAGATAAAACTTAAATAAATAATACTTTATATTACAAACAAGCTGTACCCATAGGTTGCGTCTAAAAGGTATTAGAATTCTACTAATGTTATTGTTTTAGTTATTCGCTCTCAAACGTGCCTCCTCCATCAGTGCGCGTTAAAGGGCAAATCCGCTTCATTTTTGGTTTTGAAAAAACAATGCAGTCCTCTTCAGTATCGCCTAGGAAGACCACACGTCAAATATTACGACGCAGTTCTGTCTAAAGGTTTCCTAAACGGCCCGGCAAACTCTGCAACTCACCAAATTGCCGAAATCGGCTGACTCGAGCGGGCGAATTCACGCGCAACCAACAGCGCAGTCAAGGCTACGGCAGGGGGGGAGCCAACATTGAGCTAAACGCCATCTACATGGCCCCCTTTTGCTTGTTTTTACTTCTCCGATCGAGCGTAGCGCGTGACGTCAGCAACGTTGCCTCTCGGCGTCCAGCGGTGTCCACGTGATTGACGTACGCGCCTGCGCAGCGCGCTTCTTGGGAGCAGACCAACCGCCAGCAGTGGTCCCGCCGTTACCGCCGTCTTCCGCGTCACAACCACCGTCGTCGTCTCACCGTTTGTGATTATTGCCTCTCAGAGTTTCGTCCACACTATGGACACCACGTGCGCAGAGTCCCAGACTTATGCCGCAGCTGTGCAGACGTCGTCGATAGACACCAAAACGTGGGGAAGAGTGCGGAGCAGACGACATTCGCGCCTGCCGCACGCCCGCCCGCCCCCATCCCGCCCGTCTTTGGGCCGAGGATCACGTGACCTCTCGTACCACGTGATGGCATGTACTTGGCGGCCCGAGGCCAATGTTGCCGGACGGAGCCGAAGTTTCGGTTTCGATTTCCGCTCGTGTTTAAAATTAGTTTTAAAAATATATATCCCATTTTTTGCGAAGCAAAAGACGTAGTGTCTTTTACTAGGGCTTTTTAATTCTAAATCACTCATTATCCCGAAATCTTCGGAATTGAGCGGAGTTGCCCTTTAAGGCAACTGTCTACCTCTTCATGCCTTACGAATTTTCCTGTCCCCAAATATTTTTTCTGGTCAAAACTAAGTTTGGATTCATTTATACCAGATACTAGACAATGGCATATATAAATATCAGTCGATTTAAAAATGTCGACTAGCCACCCTTTGGTCGATCTTCTCTGAAATCACCCTATAGTATATTTTACATTGATTGGATGCATAGAAGGTGACAGTACACAAAAGCAGATAGTAGCTGGAACATAAATTTTTCCGTGGGTGCTGTGACACTGACTGCAATGAACTTAATAAGTGGTCGCTCTCTTTTTCCTCAAGAGTAGTCATGTACCATTGATTGTTTGAGGTAATAATTATTCTATTACTAATTTTTTTTCTTTCTTTGGTTCCTCAGCACAACATGAGGTATTGAAGGGGTGGCACGTAGACACAACATAAAAAAAAAAAAATTCAAAGATTGCAAATCATGGAGATTCCTCGGCAAATACACTGTACCATAGGCCAGTACGGCCAAGCATCAATAAAGAAAATTTATCGGAAGCATTCACACCAGGAGAGGCTCGATCGTTGTGTGATGTTTTGATACAGATTTCGGATGACTTGTTTACTTTCTAACGAGACGCAAAGCCTTTACTTAATATGAAATACTTGAAACATTGACGCATACAGATTAATATGTTAAAATGACCCGATCATCATTTTTACTCACCTCGTTGGTGAGTGTATTGATGTTGTCTCCCATCTCATAGTGCCAACTGGAGCAAGGCAGCCTTGTGTCGTTCAGTATTCGATAGGAACCGTCCTCCGCTTCTTCCAGACCGAACATTTCGCACCGGCTTAGCACCTGACTTCCAGTTCCTGTTTGAAGTACCGTAGTGTGGGACAAAGGCCCCGTGAGATATTCACACCCGTAAGCACCTGAAGAAATCAGCGGAGGAATACTTTGCGGATTACTTCTTTAAGGAAAGTCCTGAAGAAATGTCCACCGAAGGCTGAATGGTGGCAATATTATGTTATCAGTGTTCGATCTATCAAAGAATGTATTGTCACGATCTGTATGACATGAAACATCCCATTCGGCCTTATTCTGCGTTGGCGGTCCCCAAGCTCAATTATTTCATAATTTTTATAAGATTTCAAATATGGCACCTCAACTTCGTATTACATTCTTAATTCGCATCTCAGCAGGTCTCTAAGAGAATTGTCAGATAGGACAATGAAGCATTAAGGACTCGTTCTGCTCCTATTGAACTCTACCGTACTGCCATCAACGCTAAAGGTGTCACCGTATTCCTTTAACGATAATCCGTGATACATAGTGCCAAAAGACCAGTTTTAAAATCTACGATGAATAAAAAAAGGAGGCGTTAATGGAATCTAACTGACGATAGTCTAATGCCCTACGATAATGGACAGCAGATAAGTGGTCTTCAATGAAGCGAGACTGGTTTGTTGCTAGAGGATCCGCGATGATTTGCCTGAGTTAAGGCAGTGGAGGGCTCCGAAATTCAGAAGCAAAACAAAACATTGGAATGCTGTAGTTTATTGTCACTGACAGTTTGACAAGTTCAAGGCGTTGCTTATTATCTAACTGCCTTTTTTTCATCATGATTCGGGATTCAGTGCTCTTTTCAATTAACACCGCAACCTTAATAAACAGCAGAACGATAACAAGGTTCTCGGGAAAAACCACGCTTTGCGCTTCATTAGCTGCCAGGGACTACACAGTAAACTTGCACACTTTTTGTCTCGCGTCCCTCACACCGCTCACTATTAAAGGTACGCCTAGTGAACTTTTTTGAACCGAGAATTTAGTAGCTCCTTTAACGACTGATCGTTAATACGCGTGTTAAGAGGCGTTCTTTTGCAAACTCCTTTACCTCCCCCCGTGTGTGGAATTCCATGCTGCATCCACTCTTCGTCGGTCCAGTTCTTCAGTTGTGGGGGTTTGGCGCACCAGTGTTCTAAGGTCGGAGCAATGAACGTTGGAGCCATGATGTGATATGCTGTTGGCAAGCCACGCAGAAAGCAGAAGATGATGACTGGGTAGTGCCATGGACCTAAGTGGGTGAAGATGTCGTCCATGCCTGCCATCTGCAAAGAGCAACGTGCACACTCGATACTTTAATCAAAGGTAGAGAGGCTTCAACACCTAACACAATACGTGCAGCGGCAACGTCCTTCGGTTGGCTCAAAAATTGTTCCAACATATATATGGTGTAGTAGCTTGTGGAAGTATTGACAAAATTGCTGAATTCCAACAAACCGCTTAATATAGCTGCGGTTTTACAATACTATTAAATGTGCTTACTACTTGTTAAAATTTTATATAATTTTTGGTCAGTATAAACGAATGGTATTTACTAGATCACGCAACTAATATTGAATCCTGTATTTACAAGATGCTTGCCAATGCCTTAGAAAGGGTTTATCTTTAATTCCGTGTTTAATATATACAAGTTGTTTGGTTTTATGTTTCATCAGGTATATTAAAAAAAAAAACTTGAGAGGCAGACAAGCACGGTTTTTGCATGTAAGTTAAACAACTAAGGGGCTATTATATGTAGGACTAATCTTCGAAATACGTCAGATAACTAACTAAAATTGGCTAATCACCTTTTTAATTAGTGAAATTTAGCACTAGGTTCCAGTTGTGAAGAACAAGCCAATGGTTCCAGACACTGGCTGGTCGTCATCGAAAATGACTAAATCAGTCAATTTTAAAAGAATCAAACTTGAAGTATGTAGTAAGTTGGGGCGCGCTAGAGTTTTCACTCGTGCAGGAGAACCAACGCAGGCGGCTCAAAAAAGCGCATGAAGAGGTTATCATCCGCGTTTTAAGATCCCCGGCCTTACGCTGGCGATCCAATAATGTATTTATAATTATTTTAATTAAAATAAAATTATAGGTACGCATTCAATCTTACAGAATATAATTTGCAAGCTCAACCTTAATACTGGGAGAGGTTGGAAACAAATCTGGTCAGCAACTTTTTTTTTTTTTTGCTGTTTACACAGTTGAAAATAACTCTCTTCATAACTAGTGATTGAGACCCGCAAATACGGCTAAAACTAACTATTGGTTGGTTAAGCAATATCTCAGTCCGTTAAGGTTAGAATAGAAATGTATATATTCTTATCATTACAAGTACATCCTTTGAAAATATTAATATTTCTTTCCTGGAAGTTCTAAAAAGTAAAAACTGATTTCCAATCGTTGCCTTTGTCATGAAGGTTAAATGTACCAAGAAGGCCTAAGCCTTGCATGCGACTACGTGGAAAAAAGAGTGCTCCTAGCATCCTGTGATATCATAATGATTTGCAACACATCTTACTAGGTACCGCATTCGAACTTACCCTTTTCGCTGTTTAGTTGCTGGTGAACAATGAAGAGACCATGCGGCAAGCACGACGAACATAAAATGATTTGGCCTCTTATCAGCCAGGTTACTTTCTGCCATATCTTTCCTGCTTAGATCATCGCGGTACACTCATAAACGCCGTCTTATCTATCCGTTGCTCCAACACGTCATTAGAACTAATCCTCCAAGAGATAGAGCGACCAAGTAAAAAAAAAGTATATGAGGACGTTCTTTTTGAGGTCACTGCAAATGTTCTGCAACATCAACTGAATGTAATACTTTCCCAAAAATTATAAAAGTGTCTTTGAAATATTAAAAAGACGCTTTGCTTTAATTGCTCAAGCCCTGACTTACCGAAAACGCTACAGGAAGGATATGCGGGTTGTAGTTTCAAAAAGTTTCAACCGTTAGGAAAACTCAAGTAGAATTAAGATACTGAGAAAAAGCAAACCTGTACGTCATGCATTACAAGTAATGTGTTACTTGCACTTACTTCATTTTATTGGTAACAAAGGAACTATGTGTAGTTACTTTCTAAGAAAAGAAATGACTAATGTATTTTGTCTCTTTTTGATAAAGTAGCTGATAATGTATTGAATTTTGAAAAAGTATTAAATTACGTCTTGAGGCGAACGCCTGCGACGCTTGCAACCAGTCTTGTTTTCACCCCAGCTTGTACCTGTAATTTGCACGACAATGATTATGTGATCACAATGTCTTTGTCTTAAAACAAACCGAATCGATAAACCATTATTTATATCTACAAGGTGTTTGTGTATAGGCACATTTGTTTCAGCATAAACCCGTTAAAAAGAAAGAATTTATTAGCAAGAACCATTAATAAAAACGTCTACTGCTTCGTAACACTGCACGTTGAGAGTAACGACAGTCCTGCGCGCGCAGCTTGCCAAGTAGGCAACGCGGCCAGGGCCTAACGGTTATCGTGCTTGCCTCACACGTGAAGTGCCAGGGTTCGATTCCTAAGAGCGAAGCGTCTTTTGTTTATAATTGCAATTTAGTGTTCATGTAAATTCGAGAATCCTGTTGCTTGTTCGAGGTGCGAAATTTCGCTTCGCCGAACCTTCTAGGTCGATTGTTCCAGAAGCCAACGCGTGCACAGTCGGCACGGAATAAAACGCGAACAGTGGGTGCATGGTTTTCGCTACATGCTGCACCACCTGAACCAGATGGTAGCTGCAAGAAGATGGCTCCTCCTTTGATGTGTTAGACTCTTGCTCAGTGCATCCAAACCTTTGGTGTTGCGTCTCTAGGTGACTCAGCGTGGGTCGAAAACCATGCGCTCCTTGATCGCGTTTTATTCCGTGCCGACTGTACATAAGGCGATCCTCAGTCAGTCTCGCCCCGCGTTCGACTCTGCTGTTACGCCGACCTCGACGCTCGCGACACTCTGCTGTTATCTTCTGTTCCTTTTTTTATTTTTGGGAACAAGTTCGGCCCCATTAAACGTTTCAGTTTCCCCAGTAATTCTTTGTTTCCTCGCCTGTTCATTCGTGATAATATTAAAACGCGTTAATTTCAAGCTGAGATGAGCGTTCCTTTTTAATTTTTTTTTTAAAGTAGAGTACTCAATTCATTTTTGAGGGAATAACAATTTACTTTATTTCTTTAATTTATTCCAGTAACCTGTACATATCTGGAGAAACGTTTCTGCTGCAAACATGTTTTAACTGGAGATTTTTTTTTGCCATCAAAGATATTTTCGTGATTTAGGTTAAAGAATTTTTTTCACTGGTTGTTCGTTTCTCCTCACTGTACTGATTTTCAATATAATGGCGGTTTTTATTGGGGGTTCAATATTCTCATAAGCCGTTTTGTTTCGCCCCACTATGCATAACATCCTTACATTTTTTTTCATTTGCACTGGTTTTTAAGTGCTCGAACTTCATGTGTTAAGATGCAAAAAGGTATACTTCGCGGTACCGAACCTACAGAACGGTAGTTTAGTTTCGCACCATTACTAATGGTGGGATATACTACCATCACGTGACCTCAGTTTTCTATATATAAGAAAACTTTTTATTAGGCTTTGTCCCGCCAACTGAATATGTTCGAGATAACTTTTTTTTTATGATTGCCTCAGTTATTCACAGATGTAAAACAACTACCTATACGTTTTTTAACTTAAACTATCTGTGAAAAAAAAAAATAACGTACAATTTCTACTTCATACGAGATTGCAGAAGAAGTAATATTTTGTGGAAGAGCGAAATGAAAGAAAATAACTCGGACCTTCCTTACGTCCATCTCTCTAGCACACACTCTCGTGTGCTGACGCCTCGGCTGATTACTCAGAGATAATTGTCAAGGAAGCGTTGGAACTCAAAGCGGATAACCGACTTTATGACCTTTTTTCGAGAAACGAACAGAAAAGGAGCTCAAACCTAGGACTGCGAAATTTCTCTCACTGCTTGGTGTCTCTGCAAGGAACCTACGTCTTAGACTCCTCGCCAATGCTTCCAGTCTAACACGTACGTTTTCATCTATTTTAATATATTAAGTAAGTGTTTTCAAGCATTTGTCTCATGGTGGCTCGTAATCAATTCATATATATTCGCGAAAACAAGCATGTTCCTTGTACGGTGGCGTCGTTTAGATTTCATGGTTAGCATGTTAACATTTTAAAGTAGGACGGTATGGTCTTACATGGTGGTACCGATATGTTTCAGCTCCCTCAGGCGTAGCCTAAGCAAGCCTTCTTTCTGAAAAAAACATAGCGTAACATACTTATGATTACTTCACCAACTGTTCTTAAACGAAGTTTACATCAGGGTGAAAAGTGCTTGACACTGGAGTTACTTCAGAAACAATACGAGCACAAAGACATCAACAGTTACTGCCAGCTAAGGATGCTCAGAGTGTAACTTATATACTACCCGATTTTTGCTTTGTCAGTAGCTGTTCGGCGTTCTTGTCGGCTCATACCGCGCTCTCATTCAATTCGGAGCACCTAATGGAAAGCTCGAGAGTCGCCACGTCCGGCACTTCTTAAGCTGACGGTGGGTCTGCAGTGCTCGTCTTCCCTCGTAAGTAAACTTCGTTTCGATTTTGTTTTTCACCATGTTCATTTTTCTTAGATTTTCGTATTTACATCTTTGACTTTCCAAGTTTGCTATTCCCTGTTATCCGCACATTTTGTGTTTAACGAATAACGAAACCTTCCAAAAAGTTATTTGTGAAAAAAAAGAAAGAGAGTTTTAAATTAATAACGGATATACGTTATTGCGTAAAGTGTGTCATTTCAGAGGCTCTGAATGAAAATGAAAAAGTAATTTAAATCTTTTTTTTTTTTACAACGAATGGTATCTATATATTTGTCTTTTTCTCTCTTATTTCCAAGTAGTGCGCTTATCCTCTATGCCAGGGTTGGCCAAGCTGCGGCTCTTTGCATGTTAAAATGAAGCTCGCGGCTTCGTAATAAACCTTAAACCCCCCCCCCCCCTCCCGCCCGCCTCCCGGCCTAACTCACGGTCACACGAGCACTTCTTCAAAAAGAGAGAACGGACGCGTTTTAAATTGGAAGGCAGGTTGCGGCTAGGTAGTATTGTGCTACTGCTACCTTGCGTACAATTGTACTGCTTTTGATTCAGATAGCGCGAAAGTAGTTCGTTTATTTATTGCTACAAAAAAATTTAGGCCACTCCCCCTTTTCCCCCGTCCTTTTTCTGCCCTTCCTCTTTCAGCTGGCTCTTGAAAGTTTAGTGGTTTTGTTTGCGGCTCTCAGGCCGGGCCAGCCTGGCCCCCCAGTCTATGCAGAAGACGCGCAATTCTTTCTCATATTGAAGGAACAAGGTTAGTAAAGAAATTTGGCGTTTTGATTAGTTCATATTGCATATCTTAGAGCCACATTGATAAAAAGTTTAGTATTAAAAAGCTATGTATTTTCTCCCTCGTGGAACATCCACTTTAAGTTTCCTCGCACAAAATATTGTTGCAATTAAGCTAGATTGGTTTAACTTGAACATGCAAACTTTGCTAAATACATTTCTAGCAGTGCTATTCAAGCTTATAACTTGAAATACTTTTTACACATGTCATTTTGTAATGAAGCGTAACAAATTAGTAGTAACTAAACATTTCAAGCATTTATCTTAAGTTTTTACGCCATCTCGAGTGAGGCCGTTTCCCATATTATTGTCATAAAGGCATAATTCTTACCTGTACGGGGCAAAAAGAGCGATAACGGAGTATTGCATTTATATTAGCCCCGCGTCTTTTGACATGCACTAACCAGCATTAGATAATGACTGAAAAGTGCCGAAACGAGATTTTCGTTAATTCTCCTAAACAAGCTCGATGCTTACGTTTGAATTGTGGTATGAATGCAATCCTTTTTTTTTTTTGGTCTAGCACCACACGAATATTTGTATAATCACTGACATTTTAAGAAACACAAGCCATGGCTTACTATGTTCGCGCTTCCTGCTTTGTGATCCGTTCTACTGCCTTCCTACTGCCTTCCTACTGATTAACGTCGCAAACTGATTCACTGCGGATCGATCATAAGGTAATCTGGATCGCTAACCCCTTAGCGTTTTAGCAGTCAGTGACCTTTGTTCAGTACTGACGTGAACCACGCAAAACACGCATACCTGCATAGCATAACTTCCTCAGTACCTTTTACCAGATTAAAGTTGTTAACTTGCAATGGGCGAATTGCCGAAACTCCGACTGTAACAACGGGAATCGGAGCTGACCTAGTTTGACCATGCTAACGGATAAAACCAGCTGAACGTATATAGATGTACAAAAATAAAGGCAACTAAATGCTGCATAATAAGTTATATCTTAATAAGAACATTCGTTTTCTCCCTTTTCTTTGGTTTTTAAAAATATGCAATCGACAGTCCAGCGTTTACTTCCCTTTCTTTCTTGATATCTAAATCCGTCAGCTGACTTCATACGTAAACTGTAACTGTAAAAGATGGCACTTCAAATCTATCTGATAGGACAAACTTTGTTATTAACCGCCTATGTTCCCGCAATCAGTGACAATGAGCTGTCGGCATAATAGGATTTTTCGAAAGGTTAAATTATACTGCCGATGCATGTCCTGAGTGTTTCATTTAGAAAGTTTGTTTTTGTAAGAGGCAAAAATACAGGAAGGACAATACGCAGTCAAGACAAACAGTTTCGAAAAAGGGTGTCTATGCAAAGCTCAAGTTCATCTGCTTCTTTTGCAGGGGTTGCGGTGCCGTCAGAACTGCAAGCTTTGATTGGTTCTGATTGAAGGATAGTGGGTAGGCCTCAAAGCAAACTGCTTTGTGGTCTACTCACTATTCTTCAATCGGAGCCAATCAGAGCCCCGCGTTCTGATGTAACCACGACCCCTGCAAAAGAAGCAGATGAACTTGCGCTCCGCATAACCAGATAAACGAACCCTTTTTATTTAAGAAATTGAGCAATCGTTATGGCTGGCCATAAAAAGAAGCTGCCGAGCTAGGCCATGTTTAGGAAAGTTTGCTACGTGAAAGCACGATATGCCACATTTTCCTTGCCGCGAATGTGAAGCGCTTAAAAATTACGACAACCTCTTTCCTGATTTTGAAGAGACGTCGATACTTGTCTGAAAGAGATAGTTTGTTATAACAGCTGAAAAGTAACTTCCCAAGAGTTAACCCTTTTCTTTTTGTTCTTGAGAGTCAATGGGATTGTGGATACGTGTGAAGTTCAGGACCATATGTGTTAACGTTGAAAAAAGCATCAGCGCCCTCTAATGTCACTTATCACACCTAGGGTGGAATAGGTCATATATTCTTAAACAAATAAATGTTCATTTTATTTAAATTACGTCTATTTTATTTACATTCAATTAATTTGATTTAAATCACCATAGATATAAAAGTGGCTATCACTTGATGTATATTTGTTTACACGACAGGCTTATAGGTCAATCCGTGCAAACCCTAAGCATAATGCAGACGGATTAAATTACTGTAAATTTAAAGTTGAATGTAACATTTATGTTTTTGATTATTTTTGTTTTGGTTGTCAACAAATTTTATTTGCTCGATCTTTCGCGTTTTGGTTTCTTTGATATATGAAATTATTTTCCCTGTTTCTGTCTCACTTTCGCTGTCTGATTGGATTGAAATAGGACAGTACGTGACTGATGAAAGAAGTGGAAGATAGAAAAAAAGCTCGATCAACACTCCGATTTGCACTGAGGAGCATTACTTTTTACACATTTTCAACCTGCTATATATATGTCGCACTTCATTACTTTGGTGTATATTTGTGCTGGAGATGTTTGAAATAAATTATCATTGAAAAAATTTGCTAAATTAAATCACAATTTAAATTATGATTTAATTATTATTTGAATCAATTTGATTTTATTCTCCAGTCTGCTCACTAATATCAATATCGCTTAACTGAAAGCTCTTAGCCTAGCCTCATGACCTTTTCAATATTTGTGTGGCGTCACCAAGGGTTCTGACTAAAATATTAATAAAATTAACAGTAAAAACAAATTTACAACAACTATTGTATTGACCCTAAAATATTTTTTTAATGTGCTGATGCTTTCCAATGTAGAAAGTCACAACTATAGAAAATGACAGGAACGGACGACATCTTCACACGCCTTGGTCCATGGCATTACCCGATCATATTGTTCTGTGCTCTGCGCGGTTTGCCTGCTGCTTACCACGTGATGGGTCCCACGTTCATGGCACCTGCTCTGGAACACTGGTGTGCCAAGCCTCAGCAACTGTCCAACTGGACTGACGAAGAGTGGATTGAAAATGGCATTCCGCTCGTTGAACATGGTGGGTACTCTGCACGGTCCGCGAGAACCGGAGAACGAAGGAGGGTGGGTAATTCGGACGCGGCGCAGTGTTTTACTATTAGTTCAAGAATATGTGTAGGAATATGCGCGATATCATTAAATAGACAGCGATGATGTGATGATGGCGGTTTGCAGTGCTGTGACCTTGACATATCATGTGCGATATATGCCATACTTACTTTAAAAATAATTTGCATGACTAATCCAAGATATTCCACATCACTGGGCAGCCGTAAGATTGCGGCATCGTCTGACAAAAGTTGCTGTGCTCCAGCAATGAACACCCGGTTATTGTCAAGTTCTCAATAACAACTAAGCCGAATACATTATTGGTGACCACAACCAGGGGCAGCTATCAAATTGGATATGAGGTAATTATTTGGCTTTTTTCAGCTATTACACTTTCGTTTTACAAAGGCATTAGATATACACCTAAAACGTGTTTGTCCTTATTATCGCAATCAGAAAACCACACCACGAAAGGGCTCTGGCATGTACTACATCGTTAGTCTTCAATTATGAAGGGCTCCGGTGTGTTTCCAACTTTTATGAGAATAAATTTAAATGTATTTCTTACTGGCACTTTTGTTTACAAGGTTAGTGTCAGGAATTAAGCATCGTGAAGTACTATACTTTTTATTTTATCTTGTTCTTGTCATGCATGACAAGAGGGCAATTTTAGACCATTAAGTGATTACATAAATATTTCAATATTTTAGCTGTTTGGAGTAAAAAGTTTCTCGATAATAAAATTATTTTTTGTAAGACACACCCCATGAATAATGATATATTGCCGCGCACAGGCCGAGCAAACAACGCTTGGTCACGGATTTCTAGAAAATGTATGTTGTTTTCTCATTCGGGGCGTTACATTTATAATTTCCCCCTACTCCCTTGTTCTTGAAAGTGCCAGTTCATTCTCACCCCGAACCCTCGACGCTCGAACCTTTTGGGCCGAAACATCGAGATAGTGACACATACAAAATAAGAAGCATCGCGGGACCTTTTCGAGTCACTCACGGTCACACTTGCTGTACCTTCTCCAAATCGCCGCTCGATTTTCTGCTGTCTCGACGCTCGTTCTTTATTTGTTTGGCAGAAGTTGCCCCCCGCCCTCCCCCTTTAAGTTTGCAGTTTGAAACGGGGTTTTCACCGCTTCTATTCCTCTCCATCGTGACGAAATTCAGCTCCCTTCAAATAATTACCTCTGAAATGCTCAATCTCAAATTGATTTGCAAAAAAAGAAAATATCGTTTTAATCTGCTTATATTTTCGACCAGTAAAGCCTCGACGAACAACTAATTTTTCTCTACTCCATTTAGGATCTCGGGTGGGAAAAAAGAGTCGTTGCGAGATGTACGCTTTTGAAGAAGATGACAATGGATATGTGAGAATTTTGAACGAGACCAGGCTAGCTTGCTCAAGCTGGGAGTATGACCTTGGGGACAATATTCACACTATCACAAATCAAGTAAGGATAATCGCTTATTTTAAAGAAAGCACTCTACATTCATTAGTATGACCTCTCCAGTCTCTAAAAGAAGTGAATAAATTACAGATTTACTTTTTTTTCAGTATAACCTAGTGTGTGACCGTGTCTGGCTTCGAGCAGCATCTCAGAGCATCTTCATGTTTGGAGTTATGGTTGGAAGTATAATTTTTTCTCACATTTCCGATTGGTGAGCTCGAAAACTTTTTCTACAAATATTGCTAAGCAAAAGCATAGGACAAAAGCAAGCCTTCTCTTAAAGGGGGTTTACCGCCAAACGTGCCTATTAGTGTGTTATGCCGTGCCATCTCGTTTCTATGATAATAAAATTACTCTTTAAAAACAATTCATTCAAAAACACCCTTTGTGTATTTCTTCTTGATACACATAAGAATTTCTAGCTGCTTAATTGTATATTGGTTGCTGTCTCTAATTGAACAAGATAAGTGCACTTCGAAAGACGGCAAATACATATGTTCATGCGGCGCCTCAAAACATTTTATTTTTCACCCATCAAGTTGAAAACTCTATCAAACATTATTGAGGTTAGTAGAAACGGGTGCTCAAGATTTCTCAGTGCAATAACATTTTATTTCAGGCTGTTTTTGCATACGAAAATAGTCAAACACGTAGATTTCGAAGACAAAACGCATTAATTCCAACATCAGTTTGTAAAAAAAAAAAACTTTATAAAAGCATTTTCGGGCTTTTCGGACGAGCAAGAAAGTTCGTCCAAAAAATTAGGTTGACTTTTTTTTTTAGTTCAGGTTTTTTAAAAAAAAACTTTCGGCTTGTGAAACTATATAGGGAAAGTGCTAGTAAGTTTCTCAATGTTCCTTAATACTTCTTCCCTTTGCTCCTGACACGCCCTTTTGTATTTTCACTAAATATTTTACTTCCTGTCTTCCATGTAAATTTGACTTCCTCTCTTTCGTGTACATTCTCTTCCGTATATATTTTTTCAAATCCCGTCGCTACTGCCTCTCTAGGGTGGCCGAGGGCCATGTTAAGCTGATTTATCAGCTTTCTTATTCGGCCTCCCTCCCCCTTTTTTGTTGAATGGGAAAATAAACTAATTGATTTAATTTGAACCTACGTGCATAATGCTCGTTAACTTACTGAACGATAATCTTTGTTCTCTGTGTGTTTTTAGGTTCGGTCGGAAAAGAGCGATGCTTTTTATGTTGCCTCTGCCATTGGTCGCTGGAATATTGCAAGTATTCTCTCCCACTTACTTGGTCTACAACGTCGGACGTTTTGTCACTTCGGTCGGGATCGGGGGAATTCATAGCACAGCGTTTACACTGAGTAAGTATTCACGTTATATAGTGAGAAGACTACCCTGCGTTTGAAAATGGTATGGCATGAGCATAAACGAGCTCAGTATAGACACGTCGCAAGTGCAAACAGGGCAAAGATGTTTTTAATAAGGGACATGTAATTTACATTAAAAAACCGCTAAACTAGATGAAAAAATACGATTACTGAAGTGCTTTTATTAACATACTTTTATTCACCTTACTGCTGGCATATAAGCCCAGAGACAATAAAACAGGTACAATGGGTGTGCTTAAAACTATTCATGTGAATCATCTTGTTCTTTCTTAACAACAGTGTGGCTGCCCCAGTGTGCCAAGTTCAAAAAGACAAGGACCGAACGCGTCCACCTGAAAAAAATATATGCACTGGTTGGCTTCAAAGTAATAGGGGAGTCGTCGATGAAAGAATAAACTAGGGTTGCATACTCGCAGCTCTAGCAATGACTCCAGTTTATGCAGCTGAATTCTACAGAATGATTAGCAGTAGTGCAAAACGTTTATTGTTCGTGGAGCTGGATTATGGAAATTCGCCGTTAGCTGCAACGCCTGGGCGTATATTCATTGAGCTTAGGAATTAGTTATATGTTTGAAATTTTGTGTCGTGAACAGGGTCAAAGCAAAAACGTAGGGTTTCCACACGTTTCTTCTGGTGGTCCTGAGTTCTGACCTTGTCTTGCGGGTCTTGTTTCTTACGAGGAGCAATTTTGGGAATGTCGATAGATGATGGATAATATCATGGCGCCATGATGTGTTTTAGAAATAATGGCGTGTTTGTATCTTCCATGGGACAATTTAAAGGACTTTCTTGCTGGAAATTCGGACAATTTATTCGCGTATGCGCCTGCGCGAGACAAGAGCTTCCATGCTAAAGCCTTTAGGTGGAGCGCTTTGATTGAGTGTGAAGTGCGTTGTAAGACATATATTTCGGTCTAAATAATTATTGTTTTCTTTATCATCTAGATAACGATATTGCCCATTTTTCGCTGGACCTTTTCTATGTTTGGGGAGTGGCTTTTGACATAGCATGATGGTCACGGTCTACTATAATACTCTATTTCAACAGCTTGTGCGAGTGGAGGGGTATTTCTTTAAGGCTTTCTTTTTTGGAGCACTTGCAAAAGTAAAGCGCTTTGCTCGTTTTTGTTTTTTTTTTGCATGTTCGTGCATTTGATTTTTAACACACAGCTTATGATGTATATGCGACGACAAAAAGTTTTTTCTGTAAAACAAACTTAAAAAGCTGAAGCTTCAGTAGCTATTTCTTTCCCCGCTTCCTGCTTTCCGAATGCTATAAAACTCAAATTCGATTTTAAAATAAAATAATTAATTAAAACGTTGTTCTTGTTACCAAGAAAATAATGCTTCAGGAAATAGTTTTCAACATTATATCCCAGGCTTTAAAATGTATTTCAGGCAGCAGATACAAACCAGCATTCGAATGTTGTTCAACGCAGCAGCAACATTAACTTTTCGATTTGCGCAAATAGGCCTGTAACCCACTTTTCAGTGGCTAAAGGAATCCGTACATTTTATTTAAATTACCAGGTTTGAGCGCCATTAAATGCTCGATCGTGCAGCTAAAGCGGCATTGTACTCAAGATGATTTTTCTGAAATAGCTGTTTAAATATAACATCCGCTGATGTGCTACTTGGACTCTATATTTTTCTATGGAATCAGAAGACGAAACAAAAATTACGTAATGTCCATCTCGAAGGTCACTCCCACATAAAAAACGTTCAAGTGATTGCTATAACTTCATTATCGAATTATATTTGCTACTATCCAAGTACTATTTTTATGCTAACTTATTTGATTAAAATTAAAAGGAATTAAAACCCATATTAAAAGGTGTTCCCACATAAAGATAAAATAATAAAATATTAGTTTTGACTTCAAATGAGGAACTTGGTTACTGCTATTTTATATAAAAAGGTGCACTTTCTTTTTTTGCTTTTCGTCTCAATAATGCAACATGAAAATTAAGGCTTGAAGTTTTATTACAAACTTAGGAAATCGGTAGTTACTTTACACTCAAAATGCGCAAGCTATAGACAAAACTGGGTGGGAGGACCTCCCCGGCTAATATAACTGACTTCAGGGAAACAAAAATGCACTTACCTCAGTGGTTGTCCTCTTGAGAACGAGTATTTTTATGTACCCTATTAATCCCAATTACCAGGAACACGGGAGCACGTGGCATTGCGTTTTATCAAAGGGCCCTAACTACATATGCGTAACTGAAACTGCAGCAATACGGATGAGCTGTAGTTGCTTCCCGAGCTCTTAGGGTGCTCTGGTAAAGCTCGACGACACATGCTTTCGTGTTACCACAAAACCTGAGCAATACCATATCATTTCCATTAGACTACTGAAACTACATCTGTGTACGAAAATCTCTGTTTCTTCTCTGTCTCCTTCTAGTTATGGAAGTTCTCTCCGCTCGTCACCGTGCCCTTGCTTCACTCATTTCAAGCGGAGGTTGGACTGTCGGTTTAGTGACCCTTACACCTTTCGCGTGGTTCATCAGGGACTGGGTGCACCTTCAAATATTCATTTCTTTATTTTTTCTCATCAACACGGCTGTCTGGTTGTAAGTCTTCTTTTAAAAATGTTAATCTAATAAATGCCAATGCTTTTTACTCAACCCATCCTTTCAAAATACGCATAGCTAAAGCCAGAGATACGAGAGCACACCACGCTCCCGCAGCGCGAAGGTTCCTCGAGCAACATGCTCGTCCTTGTTGCTTGTGCTTAGCTAGCCTCCTTTTATACGGGCTAGAATACATGTCACGTGCTGGTCAGTTATTTACATAGAGTTATAATGTACGCTAGAGGCTCAACTGGCGCTAGTGCCTATGCGACTTCCGGGCGGCAAATTAAAGCAGACAGCAACCAGCCTACATTTGTGTTGCTCCTGTGCACTCGTATGAGAAAACGCGCGTGTATTTTGTCTCTTCGCCGAAAAATAACACAGGCAACTTTTGTTATTTTGGTCGTACCGAACAGTATGTACCTTTATTAACATGGTAAAAGGCTAAATTTTTTAGTTAGCGCATATTTCTTTATCGGTGAACAATGTTTACCTTCGATATATTTTAGGCCCAAACATCTCTTCCGCAGCATGGTGTAAAGAGAAGCCACGATTCTAAGCAAAATATTAATTGAAAGAAATAAAGTGGTGCTCAAGGCTCGCCAGCATTCCGGTGAGGCTTCTATATTGCTAATATGCCTGTCTTGTCACGATATGAAAATGACCCCGTCGTGCATCTTTGAGGGCGGTTAAAACATTCAAAAGGTAAAGAATAAGGTGCGGGGGCTACGAAAGGTGTATTTTTTTATATTTTAAATGCCGGACAGCTTTTATGGGGCGCATGTTCTCAAAAACTTCCAGTGTGCAGGTGATGTTTTGAACGTCCAACAATCACCTTCGCAGAGCGGAAGGAATAAAGCAGCTTTTATCCCTATGGAAAATCGGACTATATTCCGTGGCCTTCAATTTATTTTGACTGTACATACACAGGGAGTTACTGATCCACTGTTACTGCGTAGTTCTTGCCGTCTTTCTTAGTGTTCCAGATGTCCTGCGTTCGTCTGGCACATATATCTCCCATGCTGATACCCGCCGTCGTCGTGTTTGTGCGAACAGTGTCCGACAGTGCACAAAACGACATGTACGAAGCCGTTTTAGCACCGTTTTTAATGCAATTAATTTGAAATAAAAACGTCTGAACTCACGAATAAGCTTGTCTGGCGGACTGAGAAATCTTCCAAGCTACCTAGTACGTACGAAGTATTCGAGAAATTTTCTCTTATAATCGAGCACAAGGAGAAAATTTACTCACTTTTTCCAATAGAAATGCATTACCGGAAGTCAATTTTCGACTGATTACTGACTACTTCAATTTGCTAGAGCACACTAGCGCCATTTGAACCTCTTCCACACATTATAAATATATATATTATAACTGTATCGTTATTTATGGCCAATACACCGATGTCACCAGTCAGTTTGACCGCGCCACCACTGCCGCAATGCATCCAGGGCACTCTTTCTACGCGTGCGACAACCTCTCTTGAGCTCTGCGCGAGTAGAGCGCCAGACGGCACGTGCTCCTTCGTGCACTGCCGTCTGCTTCCTGTCAACAAAAGTTATGGTGGTGTCGCGCATACGTTGAACGCTTAGTCAGATCGGTCTATTATCCGTTCCAGTCAGAAAATTTTCCACGCAAAGGCTATTCAGTGAAATAAGATGGCGCACATCAGCATCAGGGGAACAGACGGAGATGCATTGGCAAGGTGGTCTTATCAGATGACGAATGAGCACGCACCTTTTTTTAGCTTACTTTCGACATAATTTTGATCAGTGGTTTGAAAAAACGATTACTGTTTAACTTGAGACGTTCGTTGGCTGGTTGCTCCGTATTTTGTGAAGCCGCATTTCATAAAGCCGTGACCTGTGATGCCACATTACTTAATTTTCCCCGCTGGATTTAGTAGAAAAATTTACGTCCCGTGTCGTAAACACCGGTTCAGTTTCCTCGCTAAATTTAGCGAGAAAATGACGTCACAGGACTGTGTCACGTGACCTATGCATAAATTTAGTTCTCCCGCTACATTTAGAGGGAAAATTTACGAAACGTGACCTCAAAGCCAATTCAGTTTGACTTTGTGGTCACGTGTCGCCCATTGTCAGCGGGGAAAACGGTGTCACATGACTTCATGTCACGTGAACTATACACAAATTTAATTTCCCCACTAAATTAAGCGGAAAAAAATTAACGTCACGTGACATATGGTCCCATTCAGTTTTCCCGCTAGATTTTGAGGGAAAATTGACGTCACGTGACCTCAACACCAATTCAATTTTCCCGCTAAATTTAGCGGCAAAAATGACTTCGTGTCACGCCATGTATACTCGAATTCAGTTTCCCTGCTGGATCTAGAGTGAAAATTGACGTCACGTGACATCAACGCCAATTCAGTTTACATGCTACATTAGCGGAAAAATTTAGCGCACATGGCCTAAACATAAATTCAGTTTACCCGCTAAATTTATCGGAAAAATTGACACGTGACCGACCGAAGCCCGTCATTCCCCATTGTCTAATACAGTGGTTCCCAACCATCGATGTTTCGCGGACCCCTTCTGGATCGCAGGAGATGATGCAGGACCCCGTTCGTGGTGAGGGGAGGGGAAATGTATACGTTAAATATAATAATTGTTGAATGAATGGATATAACTAAGGGCTAGAGTGAAGTAGATCTCTCTTATTGACATGCACACGAGAAAATTCGCCCCAAGACTGAAACATTTCTTCTCGACGTGAGAAAAGACGACTCTTATTGGCGGGCTGGACTGATGAGGCAGGGATTCGCGGATGCCTAGAATGCTTTTGCGGACCCCAAAAAGTCCGCGGACCTCCACTTGAGAAACACTGATCCAATACACAGGGTGAAACGGCGGAGAAAGTCAATGGGGTAGAGAGTAGTAGACACCTGGAGACACAGCTCAATAAGGGACGCCTGGAGGTTACTAGCGCTCAACCAAGAACATTTCACGTAGCAACACAATTGCAGGGCGATTCGCGGTATAATTTTTTTTCTTACTTTAGCCTTGTGGAAACAAACGCTTGCGTTTTAGCTTACTTTGACCTTTTCGTTTAGTCAGACTATCGAAGCAAGCTCTTCTGCTATAATTGATGTGTTAGACGGTGCAAAGTGCTGACCAAAATAGCCGAAGTTGTGAGAAGACCAGAAACTCTACGCCTTGCTAGTTAGGTTATGATGTTCGAAAATACTCGCTAACAAACTCATTTGATTCTACACCAGTTTTTTATTCATTTGGTTCATAAGAGAATGAAAGAAATATTAAGTTTGACAAAAAAGGAGTTTTTAATTACTCGGTACAATTACGTGGCACGTACTGCATAGAATATAGCTGTCGCAGCTTCTCCAACTAGATTAAACATCTTATCGCTTCAGTATAGCACATATTTGTTCGTCGTTTTTTTTATGATATAACGCTAGGGCTCACACCATCATGATCAATTAACGCTAAATTTCTTAGATGGCTCAATGTCGGGGAGATGTGCTCTGTGCGAATATTGGTTCGAGCGTTCGCCATTATTGTTTGTAGAACATCCGTATTTTTCTAAATCATTCTTACACTTTAAACATAAACTGTAACACATTTAATCCGTGCAACTAAATATCTTTCAACATCCAGAGAAACGATAAATTTATGAGATGAAATAAAATAGGCCATTTATAATCAAGATTAAAAAAAGCTTGTTTCGATCGAAAAAAAAATCACCATAATGGTTAAATTAGTTATGTTTATATATTGAAAAGGTAAAAACAATAACATTTTCAAAAATTTCATCTCAAATTTTGATTCGCTACTGGTAAGTCACTTTAGATAAATTAGTCGGTTTGATATAAAAATTCAGAAAGCGTACATTCTGCAGCATCCCTTGCACGAAAACCGTCTCTGCAATATGTTGCATCTTCGTTAGAAAGAGGCGTGGTGGACGAGACATTTTATCCTCTATTTTTTGCTTATAGCAAGTTCAAGAGAGATAGAGAATCGCATTAGATTACTCTTAGTTAAAAAAATTTAAAGCAAAAAATACAATTTCTTGTTTGCGTTAAAGCAAGCTCACCCAGTATACACTTGAAGTTTTAACTGTTGATGTTGGAGAAAGGCTGCAGCATATACAAAACTCAGTTGAATATTAGATAAAAACTCCATTAGTGTCACTAAATGCCCTTAAGCTAAATATTAATAATATATATCCTATACTACTTTACATGGAACTTGAATATAGAAAAGTATCGTCAACATTAGTTTACATCATAACGCTAAGAGCGTACTATATATATATTAGTTTTGCAAGAATTGCGTTTACCCTTTTTCAGTTCGGTGTCGCATTTCTCTGCAGCTTCATTCCGGAATCTCCACGCTGGCTGCTGGCAACTCGAAGATATGAGAAGGCGGGCAGTGTCTTAAAGAATGCCATTAAAAAGAACAAAATAACCAACGTTGACTTGCATGGTGTCATCAAAGACTATGAGGACCGAATAGAGCAGGTGAAGTGACCAATTATTGTTAGATCATTTGGTTTGTAAAATTCCATTTTAAATTGTGCTTCCCATTACTTCCGGCGTCTAATATCGTCTAATATAAAAACAACTTCAAACCAATTTGTCCTTAGTTAATGCGATTATTTTAATTGGTACAACCCCCTCTGCAGAACGGACAGGGAACGTAATAAGCATGGTACGTATAAGAACCATGTAAGAACTATATAAGACCTATATAAGATACTAGCACCATATAAGAAACTACTGGGAAGCTTCTTATAAGTTCCTTATGGGGTTCTTATATATCTTATATAATTTTTATTCAGTTCTTACATAATTCTTATATGGTTCTTACATGTTCTTATATGTTCCTACATATATTGTAAGATTCATATGTGTTTATTGGACACAAGAAATTTCTCATATAAATGATTTTTTTTACTAGGGGGGGGGGGGGTGATCTCGGATTCAGTAACACGCTTCTAGCAGAGACCGATGCTTAAAACATGGCGGCTCCTATAGTCCTTCTTATTTTAAGAACCATTTTAAAATTTCTGGCTTGTTGCAGAGTATTTCTAACTTTCCCCTTTTTTTGTAGAGAATCACAATATATATAGGTGTATTTTGGATCATATATATATATATATATATTAAAGAGGTACACGTTTCGTACGCCAAAAGCATCACCTCTTCATGTGACATCCAAATCTTGTAAGAACTACTTCGCACGGCGTATGAACAATGCACAAAGCTTCTCTTTTTCTCGAGGTAAAAATGGGTACTGTTGTTTGATGTATATTTAAGAAAAAGCGTATTGTTCCATACATTGTATTTTTCTATGTAGTTCTAGTGTTACAAACTCAGAGTGTAAAATAAATATTTCTAATTTTTCTAGGAAAAGATGACGACAAAGCCAACTTTTATGGCGCTGTTTCGGTACAGCTGCATTCGGAGGACCACACTTATCAAATCAGCGATGTCGTAAGATTATTTCAAAATGAACATATGCATTTTTATTGTGTCACAAAGACGCTATTTTTATGGTTATCAGCCTCCATGGACGTAAAACAGTGGGAGGTGTAAATATACCTTAACTTATATTTAGATATATTTATACCTTTGTATTCATCTAGTTTATTTGTACGACAGGTTAAATTATTTTAACGTCGATGCTTTCACTAGTATATCTGAGGAGCTCAAGAGGTGCTATTACAAATGATTACTCGCTAGTTATCTTATATTGTTTGTCTCATGTACGCGCACACTTCCTAAGGCCTGCAAGCGGTTCGGGGGCACAGTCAACAAAAAATTTTTGATTGATCGATTGAGCTCGGATATATTTTTATGCGCACCTTTTTAGTCATTCAGTACTATACACTGTGTTATATGTGCACCTCATAAGGCATAAGTGCTCATAAGCTTTAACTAGAGTGCAGACATGTCTAGGCGGATCTGTTTTTCTGGAGAGCCTAATGCTCAAGTGAAGTCAGCAAAGTTTCGTGTTTGATGATTATTAAGTTTATTCCGAGAGCGTTGCTAATTTCTGCCGCTTTTAAGTAGTTGTGAAATGTTCGAAGTTGGCGTCTAGAAGTAGCCCGCTTTGTTTAAATTATTCAAACACTGAGATATTGAAGTTAAACTGAATGCAGCTCGAAGCACTACCTAGTGTTATGCACCCTAATCTATCGACATATAACTCACACTTGCCTTGTGGTATCTTGATAAAGTGGAACGTTATTTCAGCATAGTCACTGCAATGAGTGTATAGTAATCTGAAGGCTAGGCAGAGGCAGAAGTTAAAACATAAAGATGCATGTAGGCAACTAAAATTTTTCTATATTGGAGTTTGAAGTTGGGCTAGTCAGCTTATGTTGGTAAGAGGAAAAACCAGACCACAAAAGACAAACGCAGTGCTGACTCACGACATCGTGTTCTTTTTCTTCAAGACATAAAGGCAATAAAGTGGAAAAAAAGACCCATTCACAGCAGTACACTTCTTTAGCCATTCAAGAAAAAAAAGCTTGATACAAACAAAAAGATATAAAAAACAAGGTGTTCCAATTTCTCATAAAATAATTGTAGGAACTAAACCCCAACTTTCGCACATAGGTTACCATTCTATGAATACAGTCAAACTCTTCATCACCATAACTGCCTCCGCACAAACGGAAAGATCAAAACCGTTCAGACAAATGTAATTTTCCTCGTAAATATCCCTAGTAAATTTGTGGGGTGTCTTGTTAATTTTTCAAGGTGTTTAAACAGACGTATACAACCATATCTATTGGAATGAACTGCCAGGTGATCCGATGGTGTAGACCTCAAAGACAGAGAGCTCGAACATGTATGCACCACCTGCCTGCCCTATCTGTAACTTACCGGAAGAAAATTGAATTTTATACACAACTATGACTGTGCATGTGACGTATTTGAAACGATGTTTGATTTCACACACCACACGATTACATTTTGCTTTCACAATTCCAGCACACAATCGAGACAGCTTAGACGTGGCCGAGAAGACCACGCGGACCTTATATTTATCCACCACCTTCTTAAGTTTACAAGAAAGGATATGATCATAAGATATCACCACTGGTCTGGCTGTAGGTTTCTACCTAGCGTTGTCAGAAGTACCAAGCATTTGTCTGAAACTAGTTAAAAGCGATTCTGCTACTCCTACTATCACATCCTAAGGGAGACCCGTTAAAACCAGCTCGTTCGTCTGAATCAAAAAGCTATTGGATATATTTTATAAAAACAAGATTTCGTTATAGATGCACTCTGATATGATTTGTCAAATTAATCTCTGTACAATATTAGAGTGCCTGGAATCATAGCTAAGAAGAAACTTCTTTCACGTCGGTTCGTAAGCCCAGCGTAAGCGATTCTGTTCTAGGTACAAGTTTAAGTCCAGAAAGTGCGAGGCGATTTCATGTGGAATTTCCAACGTAAACTTTAGACCTCCACAGCACTCCCTAAATTGTTCAGTAGGTGAGAAACCATGCCTACACTTTTGGCCATGCCTAGATTTAAACATTACAAGAATATCTACCACATATCTGAATATTTTCAGTACCTGTCCATTTAGCCTTTCTGCGATTGGAGACTCACATCCAGTGTGGTAGATATCACTTAACATATGATCAACGCTAAACATATTACATAATCCAGATAATTTTAGAAAAGTGTTGACCTCAAAGGTGATAAAATTTGAATTCGAATGAAAGCGGAGAAGATATAAGAACTTCACTGAAATGCCAGTCCAGTTTTGAAAGGCCACTGAGCCATTCAAGTCAATATATTTTTATTTATTTATTTATTTGAAAATACTGTTAGCGCATTCTTGATGGCCATTTTAGGGTCATTATCAATCACTATAACAACATAAAAAACCATCAGAAATAGAAGGTTCAGGAGATCGACCCTTTTATAGACAAAGATATGTCAACGAGGCGGAACCGTAGCCTTCTAAACATATAAAATTAAAAGATCTTAAACAATCTTTACAAAATACAGTTTTAAACGTCGTTGCTTCTACATCTCTTATACATCGCACAGCTGCTAAACCAATATTGGTTTAGCAGCTGTGCGATGGAATTCTCAAAGGTGGACAGAGTTTCAAAATTAACAATTAATCTGAGCAATAAAATGCCCCTCGACCGTTCTCAAAAAAAAAAAGAAAAGACTGCTTGAATGTATCTGTATGGCTACTGCGAATGTGACATGTTTTCGAAGGATTTAGTTTATTTAATTTTTTTTAATTGACGGGAGGACTTATTTATTTGTATCTAGATTTAGCTTGTAATTATTGATTAGATAAAAAAATGCAAACGTGTGATTTCTTACCATATACGCAAACGCTCCATATCTCTAGCAGCAATCATTTCCCTTGGGGATGCAGTCTGCCTGTACTTAAAATGAATAAAATGTACAGCTTGTCAGTGGATACTTTCCAACCCATCAAAATATTTCTTTGTGTGAGGCTCCAAGACGTCACTACCTTGCTCTAGGATGGGTATAATAAATGTTTTGAATGCTAGCGTCTTAATCTCTTTCATTGCTTGTTTTAATTTATGTCTGGGGCTCATCTCGGCCACCGAGCTGAGCGGACGTGTCGCGTCGAGCTCCGCTGTTTGATCGCCCAGATTTGCCTTTTCGGAAACGATTGCGGCACAGCTCAACATTCGAACCATCTCAGGAGGGCCACCGGACCATATCGACGCATTCTGTGACCGAGTGAGTTTTGCGTTTCCGCCTTATCTCTACTTCTTGCTCGACCCCAACAACGAAGGAAGCTAGGCCTCGGGCCTAGCGCCCGGTGTGCTCGCCGACGGCATGGCCGTGCCTGCGGCGGCCTCGCACCTGCTTTCAACCGCGCCGCAGGACGCCGGAATAGAAGACAAAGATCTCACCCCTGCCACTAGATCTACCTCGAATTGAATCGACTGGACTTCTGCTCCGGACTCGCCATCGAAGATAGCCACGACTTCGCCGGGCGAGTCTCTTGTCATCCGAGCAACTGTTCGACGGAAGAAAACCGAGACCCCGTACCAACGCCATGACCCTACCTCGAAGCACTTAAGACACCCGAGTGGATCCAGTGTCGCTACAAGTCTGTGCAAAGCCAGCGAGGACGACGGTGCCGACACCGAAATGGAGCATGTCGCTCATCCTACTGCTACTGTCGACACCGCTGATCACCACACCGTTTCGTGTGAGCCACCCCCGCTCATTGTGTCTCAAGTGACGCCTGGCCCCACAGCCTCTAAGTCAACAGCCGCCGCTGGCCCGGACAGCAAAGACGGCGACGCTAACGACTCTGAAGTAGGCTGGCAAACGATGTGCTACCGCAAACAGAGACCGCAGCAGCAGCGGCACTTTCTCGGCGCAGCACTCTCGCCCTTTTCCTCATCAGACCACCCAGATTCTGCCACTGACGAAAGACCCAAATTTGTGATCGTATTCCGTTCCCGGGACAGGTATGACCTCACTCGTATTCCTGCCTGCACGATCCAGCGCGGTTTCTACGCCACGTTAGGTCTACATCCCTCAGCCTGTGACACGAAAGACACGCCGTACTTCCGAATAGGTAAAGCCACAAACACAATCTCCGTTACGATACGAAACCGTACGCACGCTGACCAGCTCCTTGCAATGCGCACCCTCACTGCCCACGACCGGGCTGTTGACGTTGTGGCTCACGAAGCCATGACCGGCGACACAATCCGTGGCGTTGCGCACGGCATCAACCCAGAAGACACCTCCGAAACGTTGCTCCGAGCCCTCCGCAGCAACTCACACGCAATAATTAACGCCAGGCCGCTCGGCAAGAATGGTCTAGCCTTGGTGACATTTCAAGGACATCGACCCCCAAGAACTATCTTATATTACGACGTGATCATCAACGTTACGCCATACTCTCCTACAACCGTGGTTTGTCGGCGATGTCACGGCCTGGGCCACAAAGATCATGTCTGCACCCGACCGCCAAGGTGCCCTGACTGCGGCTGTATTGTAAGCAACGACCACGTCTGTGAACGCACGTACTGCGCTAACTGCCGCGTCACCACGCACCTCGCCACAGACCCCAAGTGTCCGGCCAAGCGCAAGGTTGACCAGCAGCTCCAAGAGCGCACTCGGCGGACGGCACGAACCACCACCACAGACCTTTGCACACCTCGTGTGGACCACCGCAGAAGGAGCAAAGCCCGATGTGCCACCACCGACACATCACGATCCGGAAGCAGACCCCCAACTCAAGACTCTAGAACCGTTGTCGGTGGTGAGGATTCCGTTGAGAACTTTCCGCCGCTGATCACCACATCCAATCGCTTTTCGGCCCTAGAGGTTGACGACCTAAGAAGCGAAGCCGCACCCTCGTATCGCAGAAGTAGAAGTCGCAGTCGGCAGAAACAACCACAACAGCAACATCAGCAAAGTCGCCCCGCAAGCCGTCAGCGTAGTTCTGCTGACGGAGG